TTATTCTGTTAGGGTATTTAAGTCAAGGGTTCGGGCTCCGAGGTCGTTCCCGAAAACAACCGCACACAGAATGATTGCACTTGAGTGCGTTTTTGATGCAGTGCCCGCTTTTCTGTTGCTTATCCTCTCAAGTCTCTTGCTCTGATGTGGGAAAAGGCCCTTGTAGCTTTCGCGGTGCTCGCTACTAAGTGCCTGGAAGTCGAACGTCCGGTGCCGGCCTGCCATTGTGTGCCTTGCGAAGTGATTCCTGACGATCAGAAGTGTGGCTGGGCGAGCTGCCCCGTCTGGAGTTGGGGAGCGGTTGCTCTCGCTGTGCTTTGCACTCATCTGCTGACTCTGTGGATAGGATTGCGCCTCGCCGTAAATCTGCACCCCGCCTCCGGTACTTTGCGCGCGGCAGTCGCAGGCCCATCTTTTAGACGACGCGGAGGCGGCATCCTGGAAGATGGAAATCGGCACTAAGGCTGTAGTGTTTTACACCGATGACGTGGTGTGGCATGAGCGCATCGTTTTGCTTCCGGGGCATGATCCCAATGTCTATTGGGTTCTCACCCCCGATGATGACATTTACGAGGAGGATCTGGGGGGCAAAGCGCAGGATGGACCAGACAAAGTAAGGGTTGTACCACCGGGCATCAGAACTCTGGCGAACCTCCGCAAGGGGATTTATCGCTTCCGGGGAGATATGGACGATGTTTTCTTGGAGGGGAAGATCCGTGAAGCACTTCAAAGCCATGCCAGTGCTTATGGGGCTCGGCCTGAGCTAGATTCTGCAGTGGTGCGACTTCCTAGTGGTGTTCAGAAACAGCTGGGCGACCTCCAGCCTCGGAGACGTCTGCGAGGAAAGACTGACACTGCAGAGCATCAGCCTGGCGGCGCTTCGGGATCTTTAGCATCTCCGCGGCCTCGCCGAGAAGGAGTTCTTGCCGAAGCGTGGGTGATCGTTTACAGTGCCACAGGAAAAGATTTGGGGTCACAGGTGACACCACCGTCGATGTCCCAGGTCGTGACCTTGGAGGGAAAGCACTTCAGGCTCTATGTCGAGGACGGTGGCGTGATTATGGCGCAAGGCTGCAAGGCCGAGGAAGCACCTGACGTGAGTCGCCTGGCCAAGGGCGTTTCAGGCGGTGAAGCGGCGGAGGAGCGGGACCCACGGGTGCTGCCGATCATTTTCGACTCCGCGGACGAGCGGTGGCGAACTTTGAGCGAAGCTGTCCCTGAGTATGAAGAACTGGACTTCGAGGACTTCCCGTTGCAGGGGCCCAGGACGATTTATCACGATGTGAGGCAGCTTCGCCGGCAGGGGCTAGACTGGCTCCAGCACCATGAGTCGTGGCTCAAAAAATCCGGGGTTCGTTTGACCGATCGCAGTGTGCATGAACACTCCGCTATTTGCCGCGTCCTGAACCTGATGACCTCCTACGATCAGCTGAACCTTCCCTCTTTGGCAAGCTCCGAAGCCCTTAACAGGAGGCGGACCCTGATTGAGATCGCGCATCAAGGTCACCCTGAAGCTCCAAGCTACGAGGGCTCAGAGGAGATTATGGGGGTGAAGGAGTCAGCTGACGGGGCACTTATCGACCCCGCTTTGACGCGGCACGCAGCAAGGCGCCAGGCCGATCGCGCCGAGGTGATGAAGCAGAACCGCCTCGCCGCTGAGGAGCGGCGCCACGCCCGGAGCCGCGGAGATGAAGGCGAAAAGCCTGAGAGGCCTGAGAAGCCCCCGAAGAAGAAGGGGGAAGGAAAAGGAGGCGACAAAACACAGGGCGCCCCCTGAGGAGGGGGGCCACTTGGGGGCGTTTGGCGCAGGCCCTCGGGTGGAGAGTTTTTTCGGCGCCGATCGATTTTCCCTTGGGCCACAGGAACGTTTCGGGGATCTTTTTCCTTTACCTCCTCCCGATCTGTGTGGCTATGCTGGTGATGTTCGTCTTTTAAGGTCTCGTCGTTCCAAGCAGCGGGTTGGCAGGAGGAGGACTCTTGCTGATCGGGAGTTGGGGACCATCTGGGCCCTGAACACATTGGCGGGTTTTCCTGACGAGGCAGGGTGGCCACGGCATTGTTTGAATCATGCTCAGGAGTCGGCAAATTCAAGGGTGAGACGTGCGCACGGACAGCGTGCACCACCACCTGACAGTGCAAGTCCGCAGGCAGCGCTACGGCAGCTGCTGCAGAAGAAGGCTGGGTCAGCCTACGGGGTTGATCAGCCGGGGCAGTTAGTGAGCTACGTTCGTGAGAAACTTTCCATTCCTCGGGACCAGCTTGAACCCGTGGATCTCACTTCCATCTTACCCGCGGTGGAGAGACGCCAGGTTGTGCATTTTGAGAAAGAGATGATGCTCGACGACGAGGGGATTGCGGCCGTCTTGGAGAGAGGGTTTCATGGTGATATGCATCTTGACCCAGTCTTGGCTAACAACCCTCGGAAGTACCATGAGCTGATCTCTGATCTCTATAAGGCAAAGCTGCTTGGTTTTACGATGCGGCCGCGGGTGCAGGTGGGACTTTTCTGTGTGGCAAAGAAGGGCAACAGACAAAGGTTGATTGTGGATGCGAGGCGGGCGAACAAACTCTTTGCCCCTCCTCCATCGACGGTGCTCGGCTCAATCGACGCATGGTCGAGGCTCGAAGCGGAAGATGATGCCCAGGTTTTCCTTGCTCAGGAGGACATTCGCGACTGCTTCTACAGGCTGGGGATTCCGCAGCGCTTGGGCGAGTATTTTAGCCTCCCGGAGGTGGACGCTGAGATGCTTCGGGAGACCTTGGGCTACCTCCCGCCAGAGATGCAAGGCCTGCATGCACGATCACCGAGTCCTTGTCTTCAACGACAACCTGGGGGTAGTCCTGGCAGTGCAAAAGGGCAGGGCCTCGGACTATGGCTTGTTGCGGCTCATACAGAGGATAGCTGCCCACACGCTGGCCAGCGGGGTAAAGATCCAGCTCCGATGGATTCCGAGTGAGCGGAATGCTGCTGACGCGGGCAGTCGCGCTTGGGAGCCATGGAGCTCCAAGGAGCATGCTCCTCGGGCAAAAGTTGCCTGTCGCGAAGGACACCTCAGCAGCAAAGAGGAAGATCGTGGTTTTCACCAGGATGGAGTCGGAAAGGGCCAACGCTCGTATGGCTGCACGCGACCAGAGCTCGGAGATCAGGGAGACTACCGAGCCGAGGAAGCGAAAGAAGTCGCCTTCTCCTCTGAGGGTGGCTCAGGGAAAAGGGCCGGCGCAGCCTGGGATCAGATGCCTTTTGAAAGCTACACAGAAGAAGAGAGAGAAAGCCCGCACACGGCAACGCAAGTTTGCAAAGAAGCTTCGCGCCTCTTTGGGTGGCCATGGGCTCCTGGAGATGGCGAGCGTGAAGGAGGCGACCAGAAAGGACTACTTGAACAAGCTGAGAGGTTTCTACGACTTCGTCAGCTTCCACGCCCTCAGCATCCAGGACGAGGCCGGCCTGGACGCAGCGCTGTGCGATTACGGGGACGTCCTGTACCTGGATGGCGAGAGTTGCAACTTCGGTCAAAAGCTTTTGGCGAGTCTCGAGTTTGTCCGTCCGGAGGCGGCGAGAGCTGGAAAGCTGCAGCTGCCACGCTTCAAGAAGAGTCTGAAGGGTTGGCGGCGGCTGGCTCCCACCCAGACGCGCCTTCCGATGCCGGAGTTCCTGAAGTCCAGCATCAGCGGCATGCTCATCCATTTCGGCAAGCGGGAGATGGCGTTGTTCAACGAGGTGGGTTTCTCGACATACGCGCGTCCGGGGAAGCTCTTGCGCATGAAGGCGGTGGACTTTGTGGGTTACAACCGCGATTTCCAGTACTCAGTCTTAGTGGTGGCTCCTTTCGAGCGGGGCGAGGAGAGCAAGGCCGGCGTGTACGACGAGACCCTCATCCTCGACGATGTTCGGGCCCCGTGGCTGGAATCGACCCTGCGCAGTCATGTACAACAGCGCCTGAAGCAGGGGGAGGATGCAGATCTGTGGAGTTTCAGTGCTGCCCAGTACCTGAGCTCGTGGAGAGAGGCGGTGAACTTCCTGCAGATCGGCGACGTGGCCTTGAGTCCCTACCAGAACCGGCACGGTGGAGCCAGTCGCGATCACTTGATGAAATTGAGGTCAGTGCAAGCTATCCAGCGC